TATTTAATGTTTTCATGTGTTTGTTAATGTATTTGTGAATATATGTCCATATATATATATAATTCACTCTATAAAAAAATTACTATATCCAGGTTAACATAATTCTATATAATCAGCGTGTTACCGACCTTCTCAGGTGTGTTGAGAGCAGAAGTAGCGGCGGCTTACCTGGTCAATCAACACCCGTAAGTTTGCTCCCTTTACGGCAGTATACAGGGAGTAATCACCACTCCTGTACCCGAATTATCTTCCTAAGTTAACGTGGTGTAATGTCCGTGAACAGTGGTTGAATGGAAAAAGTTGGGTCGTTAGAAATAATATCCCTTTGAGAGAGAGGATATATGAATAAGAGATGAAAAAAGGGGGAGATAGACAGGCAGATATGAAGAGATAGAAAAGAGGGAGAGATAGACAGGCAGATATATGAAGAGAGAGAGAGAGAGAGATAAAGAAAAAGAGACAGGGGGAGAGACAGAGAAAAAAAGACAGAGAAAGAGAAACAGAGATAAAGAGACAGAGAGAGACAAAAGACCAACATTGATTTACATATCCAAATATTCCTCCACAGATGAATGGTATTAGACGAGACAGACATTCACTCATTATTATTCACTATGTACCCAAGTTTAATCTGTTAATTAATCACTGAGTTCATTATCATGCCAGTTGGAGACGAGTTAATGGTATGTGTGTATTAACTATCGTCTCTATGGTATTACCAGTTAAGGGAGAGTAGAGAGTTAACACAGTGGTGGTGGTGGTTCACTGACACACACACACACACACACACACACACCTACGCACACACACACACACACACACACACACACACACACACACAGCAGGTAAATTGGCAGACCGGGACATGAAGAGGTGTTTGAGAGGCTTTTCACCTATTCTCCGCCGTTAATGAGTTATAAGAGGTCATTTGCCTGATTTAATTACTGTCTCGTTGGGTCATTTAGTTCCGTTGTTGTTGTTGTTGTTTTGGGTAATGAGATTGTAGGAAGATTTTGTGATGATTTGTTTTGCTGAGTGTTGATGTTTATGTACACAGGGACACACACACACACACACACACACACAGACACACACACACACAGACACACACACACACACACACACACACACACACCCACATAAAACATTCTTTCTCCCTTGACTTTTACAAACACAGACATATACACAATGCTCTCTCTCTCTCCTCTCTCTCTCTCTCCTCTCCTCTCTCTCTCTCTCTCTACACGGTACACCATAATGGCCGACACGCCTTAGTCAACATCAGCCTCTTGTTACCTCCATAAAACACTGTCATTATCCTCCCTCTGTGTGTGCGTGTGTGCGTGTGCGTGTGTGTGTGTGTGTGTGTGTGTGTGTGTGTGTGTGTGTGTGTGTGTGTGTGTGTGTGTGTGTGTTTCATCGTCAACTAGAAATGGTTTTGTTTTGTGTTCTTTGTTGTGCTTCATTGTTGTCCCACTTGTTCTGTATTTCATCAAAGCCTCTCTCTCTCTCTCTCTCTCTCTCTCTCTCTCTCTCTCTCTCTCTCTCTCTCTCTCTCTCTCAGTAACGTGTGTCTGTAAAACTGGTGGAACGTTGAGAAGAGAGAGAAAAGGAGAGAAGAAAGAGAGAGACAGGTAGAACAGACAGACAGAGAGGGATAAGGTATCATAGAAGGAGTAATAACAAAGAGAGAGAGAGAGAGAGAGGACAGAGAGAGAGAGACAGAGAGAGAGAGGGACACAATGAGAGAGAGAGAGAGAGAGAGAGAGAGGACACAATGAGAGGAGACGAGAGAGAGAGCTGGGAGGTGAAGTTTGGGAGTGTGAAATCACCAAAGTTCTAGTCACTCGTTATTGAGTTGGAAGCCAAATGAAATATTTTCGGCAGTTCGGGAAAATACGTCGCTTACCCGCCTACTCTTCTCCCTTCCCTCTCACCCCTCCCTCCTCACCCCTCTCCCCCCCTCCCTCCTCCCTCACCCTCTCCCTCCCCACCCCTCACCCCCCCTCCCCCCACTCCCCCCTCCCCCCACTCCCCCCCTCCCCCACTCACCCCTCACCCCCCTCCACCCCCTCCACCCCCCCTCCTCCACTCACCCCTCCTCCCACTCCACCCCTACTCACCCCCCCTCACCCCTACTCACCCCCCTCACCCCCACCCCCCCCCCACTCACCCCCCCACCCCACCCACCCCACTCACCCCTCCCCCCTCACCCCCACCCCCCCCCCCTCCCCCCCCTCCCCCCCTCCCCCCCACCCCCCCCCCCTCACCCCCTCCTCCCCACCCCTCACCCCCCACTCACCCCCTCCTCCCTCACCCCTCACCCCCCTCACCCCCTCACCCCCCTCACCCCAACTCACCCCCCTCACCCCTCACCCCCCTCACCCCCCCTCACCCCCCACTCCACTCCCCTCACCCCTCACCCCCCTCACCCCACTCACCTGCTATGATTTAAATTCTCCAGAAACTCGTACATTTAACTTCCTTCTACCACCCATGAACGTGACAGCGACCCACAGTTCAAGTGATGGTAACCGAGCAAAGTTTCTCGGTGGCATTAACCGAGAATTGTCCCTTGAAGAGTGTGTTGACGACTACCTGTGTCCACTCTTTCCCAATTACGAGTGCAAGA